AGACAGAAGGACGGGCTATTACTCTGTGATGCAACAGAACGGAGCTGGGAACATGTACAGCAGGGTGTGGCGTAGGACGGCTGTAATTTCACCGCCAGACTCTGATTGGTCCCATAAATCACGGCCGCGGCCAAATTTATTTGACCAAGGTTAAAAAAACCATTTCATCTAAATCACGTGTAATTTGGACCATGATGCACCAGTCGAGCGTTGACCCTTTTATCTGCCTTTGTAGTCGTTGTCGTCTCTGATCTGATTTGTCTGGTCGTCCCACAGACGTGATGATCAGTGAACAGCAACACGTTGACCGGGGGCTCTGCACCCCTGCACCCCCCTGAGGCTGTCTGCAGACTGCAGCGAGAGCCCCTGGTGGTCTAACTGGAACCACATGGGGGGGGTGGGGGGAGAACCTGATAGCTGTGCTTGGCCTGAGCTGGAGTTTACCTCGGCGGCGCGTCAGGCGGCGTCAGAGATGCCTGTAAGATGGATGGTCACTGCCGCTGCCCTTGACCCTGAGCATCACGCTACACACCTACGCACCAGCGTTGTGTCCTGTCATCCGCAAAAAAAAAAAACCTCGTTCTCCTCCTGCCCCTCAGGGACACACCTCCTCCATCCTACACCCTCTTAGGGGTTTCTGTGGCCGCGCTGCCCCCTGGAGTGTCCGACCGATAGGGAGCGTTTACTGCCGGTCCGGTCGGAACGGGAACAACAGCAAACACACTAATGGGAGGGAGACAAAGCCACAGGCCACAGACATCCAGTGGAGAGCAGACCACAGGCCAGGAGTTGGCGCTCTCTCCTCCCGCTCGGCGTGTAGGTACAAGAGGCAGCGACCAGAGCTGCGGCGCTCCCCGGTCTTTGTGTGTTAGCGCTCACAGCGCAGTAACCTGAGGAACTGGTACTGCTACTGTGGAAACACTACCCAGAGGTTGGTCACCCTCTCACCCCTGTGCTGTGGTGGACACTTCATTTGGAGGCCAGTTGAAACCCCCCTCCCACCGCCCCCCC